ATAACTGTAACTGAGGGGTACAATACACCAGTAGTGAACCGTAACAACTTAAGTTCGAGCCATAAATGTCAAAAATATTGAGAAATTATGAAATTTTAGTAGTTTTATGGCCAGTTTCATGCTGGGCGTTTCAATTTAACCCTTTTGCTTCCAACCAAAACTTAACAATGGAACAAGAGTAGTACTGTAATACTTTGACATTCAATAAATGCACTAAACTAAAACAAAAAATTGTAGACATATCAGAAATTACTAGCTCTTCTCTGAGTGCTGCCCTCTGCATTATACCATCTGCCAATGTTTTATATATACTGTATATCAACATATAAGCAAAAATGTGCAGAACGAAAATAGTGTCAGCATGTGTTTTGAATTTATACTCATACTGGAGATATATATTGCTTATTAGCTGTACAGAGCCACTCCTGACATTTCCAAAGTGTCTCTAGCCTCGTTTTTGCTGAACTCGAAAGCCATGATTTTTTTTTTTCCCCCTCTTGTGAATGTGTTGCCAAAGAGACGTTTGTCGTTAAAGGGTAAATGGTGGGTGTGTTTGAGAAGGGGGATTACCAAGCTGCACTGGACACCGGCCCTTCAGGATCAGAGCTGAACACCACTGCAATCAAAAGGACGTAGAACGTATTGAAAAAAGTAATGAGTGAAAAAAAAACATAAAACTAATAATTTAGTTTTCAATACAGAATCACAAATGTTTCTGGATTGCTTCTAAATTCCTGGCAATACTACAACATAATGGTAAAAATGAGTGTGAATTTTTGCACATAAAAAGGAGAGGGGTTTGTTTTGTTTTTCGTATAGTTGTTTGTCAGTACTTTATAATGGCAACAAGTTATGTGTTGTGTCCAGGTTATAAGGAAAGGTCAGACAGCAAGCACATTCTTACATTTGCAGGAAAAACATGGCATAACCTGTGATTAAATATTTATGTGATTTATGTGCATAACAGAAAAGCTTTTAGGGCTCTGGGTGTTTTAACACGCACACTGAACTCCGCCTAAACACAGAAATGAATATTCTAAACTCCTCTTGGGTCTCTGGTTGGATTTGTGTGCAGCACTGATTTCAAGTTGTACCATTTTCTTTGGTATGCTAACCTTTTAGAGCAAGCGTTTTTGAGACCAGTTTGGCCGGTCAATCTGCAGTAGGTGTTCACTTCCCCCCTCCCTTAACCTGAATATGAGGGATTAGTATTCAGTGTCATGTGCTCCTACTCAAATCACAAGGTAATTCTGAGCCTCACAACAAGCCAACTAGCTCACCAGAAAGAGCTGCGGCTTGGCACTTTTTCCTTAGCTCTTATCAGAAATGATGCACACAGTCATTCTCAGCAAGCGTTTAAAATGCTTTCACTAACCTGTCATCATGTAAACCTTCTAAAAGTGTTGCAGGAGCATCAGATGTAGAATTTATACATGCTTGCACCAAACCCACCATGACAGGATTAGTTCCATTTCTGTTGATATTACTGAAGGCCATGTTTAACCCTCAGCAGTCTAGAATTATTATTGTTGTTTTGTTATACTATTTACAGTGCTACACAAAAATCAGAGACCATCCTTCACTTATTTAATTTCCAGCCAAACCAACCAGCCTCCTTTCTTTTTGGCAGACTTGATTTAGGATTTTTGAAGAAATCTGCAGAGATATTTTTCCTCATCTCCAAAGTTCAGCCTTAGAAGTTTGTTGCATTTTCTTATGATCCAAGTAATCCTCAACACATTCAGTGATGCTGAGGTCTCAGAGGTCAGTCCACTGTTCTGAGAATGCCAGTTTCTTTGATTAACTTGAATATGTTCTTCCTTTCTGGCTTTTCCTTTTTCCAGTAAGAGCTACTTGACAGCTACACTTCCTTTTAGACTCACTCTTGTCCTCTCACAGTAAAAGGATTGACAAAAACACATGTAGATTTTTTTCCAAATATAAAGCAAGAGTGGAGCTTGATTTTCTCTTCTCTCATAGAGTGAAGAGTGCCTTAAGTACTGTTTATCTGATGACAGTTTTGGTGGTCTACCATGTCTTGATTGTTGTTAAAAGTCCTATTCTATATCTTAACTCTATATCTTAACCATTTTGAACTCTTTTGAAAACTCCTGTTTTTTCAGGTATTTTCTTTTTTACTTTCCACTTCCTTATGCAAGTGGATTATATCTAATATCAGTAATATATTCAACAATAATGTACTTAATGGCTTTGACAGGAAAATAAATAAATGAAGTGTGATCTCTAAATTTAGCACAGCACTGTATATGTAAGCACATTATTTACATAAATGTACATAGTGACATAACCGCAACTAATGTTTTACCTTTAAATGCCAAGACCAAAAAAAAAAAAATCTGTTTCTTCTCTTTAATCTACTCCTCTCATCTAAGTACTTTGATAAAATAATTTCTGACAAAGCCAAAAATTCAAAGATTTTGTATTGTTTGTGTCGCAAACTATAATTTTAAACAAGCAAACACATTGCAGCCTAAACATAAATAAAATTAGACATTTCAGTTGCCTTTTATTGTTACTGTGATGAAACAAATTAATAACAAGCCTTTAGTGATCTGAGTTCTGTTCTGAATGTGTGTGTATGCTCATTCAGAAACCATCACTCTGTATCCAACAAAGATCATCATGCTTCTTCTATATAGAACACAGAAATCTCAAAATCATGCTAATCCATATTACTATGTCCAAAATGGGCAAGCATGCAGCCCAGCTACTCTGGTGGCAGATATGTGTTGGAGGTGACAAAGCCAAAGTGCCTGAGCGAATCGCCGATAAAATGTTAGGTAGGACAGGGTTCAGTGAGTGCACTTTTGGATGGACACCAGATATACTTGATACTAGATGGAGCTGTTATTACTGACACAGAAACACACAATACACATGAACAATAGTTGTTTGTACCTAACCTAAAACTACTTTAACACCCACCTGGTCCCAAGTTGCATTCAACATTGTGTGACACTAAAGTACAGAGGAAAAACAAGCTG